GTTCCTCTCAAGTTCACACAGATGCCACTGCAGAATAACCACCGGTCTAGTTCATCATGTTAACATATGAACATGTTCCACAAAGTTTGCCAGGTAAAAAGCATCCAAGACTTATTGTCTCCATTTTGAACAATATATCTCTTACTTTATATTTTGAAACCTAACAAAGTTCATTTTGTGAATTGTTTTTCAGTTTGTGTTATATTTCTTTAAAGTAACTTATTCTATTATTTTATTATGTAATGATAATACACTAAGTGTTCAAATACATTTTATATACAGTATGATGTTGGTAGATATTGTCATTGTCTCTCTGAAGTGCACTGATCTGAGGCTTGACAGGTCCAACGTTCTGCTCGGTTAGTTTGATGTATGTATCCAGCCCCACCCACCATTCAATAAACAGTCTCGTAAATGGGAGCCGTGATGATGAGTGCGGTGACTTTAACATGCACCATCATGAGTCACAGACTGTTAAACATAATGCAGCCTTGAGTGTGAGAAAAGGCAGAGAAAGGCACTTAGACACACACACACACTGATGCACTGCTTACTTCAAGAAGGACAAAAAGTGTGCATTGCAATATGAGTATGCGCTAAATTGAGGCAAGTGCAAGGTCATCTCGACTGTGACCTTTTAAAGCAGGAGATTTAGTCTAATGAGGAGTGATGCATGGTGTGGAGGACAGAGAGCGAACAAAGAGGTTAAGCAGGTTCATTGCAACCTATTGTGTTTTCTCAGCGTGAGAGGTTTCCTTGTGGTTACTGTTACTATTGCTCATTCTTGGAGAAAGAAAACAAATATGTGTTTAATGTGTGCAGGTTTTATAGATTTGCATGGATGACAAATATTTATGTGTTGCTTCATGGGTCTTTTTTTTATTCATTATCGATTTTCTTTGTTTAAAAGTGACTTTATTCATGTTAATGATCATTCTAAATGATATCCAGTGTAATCTGAGTAATCTAATGTAACATATTTCTGGTGATCCCTCAAAATAGTTATCCTTTGCTGCTCAAGACACATTTGTTGTTATTATCAATGTTAAACACAGTTGTGATGCTTAATATTTTTGTGGAAGCCGTTATATTTTTCTTCTATTCTATCAGTAGCAATAAACAATATAAAATTCCAAAAATGTCATATACAGATAGACATAAGACATATAATTTTACTGTATGAATTTGTCTAAAAGGTTGTCAATTTCTTTACTGTATTTTGATATTTTTTTGCCAATCACAGATAACAAACAATAATCTGGAGGCAGTAATATGAATATATTAAAGGGTTGTTTCACCCAAAAATGAAAATTCTGTCATTAATTACTCACCCTCATGTCGTTCCAATCCCGTAAGACCTTCATAAATCTTCGGGAACACAAATTAAGATATTTTTGATGAAATCCGAGAGCTAACCCTTTAATGCATTATTTTCTTAACCTTTTGCCCATTGCTGTCTGCCAGAGAAATAGTAGTCTAATGGTGTTGACAGGTTCTGTATTTTTTATTCATGGCTGAGACAAACCTGGCCAATGTCTTTAGAGTAGTGGGACAGAAGTCAACACATAATGCTTGAAACAGGAGACACTGCTTTGGACATCTTCTCTGATTCAGTTGGACACAGAAAGACAGAAGGACATCAGTGATGGTAGTGACATACACAGATATTTTTTTCTGCATATAGTAAAACAATTTAAAGTCAAATCAACATTTATTTGTTTATATATTTATTTATTCATTTGGTAGTAATCTAACAATTGGATAATGTACAGCTGGTAATTTTCACAAAATAAAGTTAATTAAACAAAATACGTTTTGAAAAGTGTATATTTTAGGTGGATTTGACTGGATTAAATTGTTTTTCACCCTTTTGAATCACTTTTTACCTAATCTCTTTTGCGATTAAAAAACATTCTGTAGTTTTTACAAAATAATTTTGGCAGCTGTGGTTGCCAGAATACTTTTGTAAAAAATACAGAAAAACTGTAAACACATTTACGGCCAAAACCTGCAAATTTTACAGTATAAAACTGTAATTTACAAACAAGAAAATTTGAATGGAAACCAGTAAATTCAACAATGCACACTGCTATTAAAATCTGTTTTGTACCTTTAACATACTGACAACCACCATAATAATGCAGGTGGTAAAAGAGAAAGCCACATGAAGAATCAAAGCTCATCACAAGTAGCTTCACCACAAGCAGAAGTAAATACTAATATATAGAAGGTGCACAGAGTCACTCATGTAAACACAAAACACCATCATGGTAACACACATGATACTTAAATAATGCATTAAACTTTTATTAAACAACAGAAGATGTAACATAAAGCCCAAATATACATAACTAATAACAAAAATTATTTAAAAAAACATGATTATTTAAACAAAATACTTTCAAATGTGGAGTGTCACGCAGGGAATTCTGGGAATATCAGTTTACAGTTTTTGACTGTAAATTATACATTTATTTGTTATTTTTACTTCTAAAAACTGTAAAATGAACAGCATTTTACTGTACAATTACATGAAATGTCTGGTTAGATATTTTACAGTTTTTCCCTGTATATAGTACGGGAACTTACTGTTAACAGTTTTTTTCCGTAGCGTTTTTACAAAATTTTACAGTTAAAATTACACGTATTTTTTTACAGTGTACTTAAATAGTTGCATATATTTCAGGCAAAAAGTCCACTGTGTTTTATGAAGAGTGAAATGTACGGGTATGTTGGAATGATAATTATCCTAACCACATGCACTTATGTGGAGCGATAAGTTAATGGCCTCATTTACTTCCATCAAATCACGTTTAGGAATGACTGGTTCCATGTACCCGCATACCAAGCACTATTTAATGAAGTTTACCAACTTAAGTCGACTTCAGTAGCTTCATTTATTATGGAATTCTAGAATACTTGATTCTGATTGGCTAGTTTTGGCAGATATTTTGTATAATGACCATATAGTCCCAAACAACTAACTGAATTAACTAGTCTCTCGTATCTATCTATGGTCTCTTTTCACATTTTTCCAACATTATAAATAATTTAAACTCAAATAAATCATGCATTTATTTATTTGGTGAGTACTCAAATAAATCAATCATATAAATCAATATTAAATCCTGACAGGGTGATCTGGATCTCGCACTGTATTTGGAATACAATACGTCCTTACTTTTTCACAACCCTGGACCGATCAGAACCCACAATGGTCCCAAAACTGTGTAGTCAAAAAGCCACTTCCTACAAACACACTCAAGCTTTTTCAAACCAAGTGTGAAGCGAACAGTTCCACAGTGTGTAATGTCTTTTCTTCTGTTTTCAGCAAGGCATTTAAATGACTTTAACAGCTCTGCTTTCTGACCGCAGTTCAGTTTTCCTGCCTGTAAAATTACCACAAATCTGTGGCTGTTTCTTATCATGTAATTGCAGCACATTAACTTCATCTATGTGCCTGTTTTTTGGCATTTTGTCCTGTGTAGAATTCACTCAAACAGTGGCAAGAAACTTTTGCCGTTATCTTAGGCTAAAAAGGCAACATTTCTGTGTTAAAGAGCTCATTCAGATGGACTACAGGTATTTCTGTGTGTGTACAACTCCCACTTACCATCATCTGATAAAAGAATAATCACTGATTTGTTGTTACAGGCCCTACTTTAGCCACACAGGAACAGATCATGGTATCAGTCACAAACTGCTAAACAAAAAATACCAGATACGCACATCATTGGCTTCTTAATTGTTATTCTTTCAGTTCCCATGCTGCACACAGATTACACAAACGATGACCAGACTTAAACCTCACAGACTAAACCAGACATGAGACTGCACCTCTGTCTATTTTTTAAATCACGTTAGGGTGAAAATTTTGCGCTAAAATCCAAAATTATATCAAATTATAAATAATATATCAAATTATATATGAATAATATTTAGCATGTAACATTTACATGTTTATTTATTAATAGTTAATGTATAAAATTCTAGTTTATCTTTAAGATTATTAAGATTTGCATTGTGACATTATTTTCATGGCAATCAAGCACATTAATTCTCATTACTGTAATGTATTTATATTTGTATAATTGTCATTATTGTCAGAGATTTTTTTCTCATCATTAATGTATGGTTATTCTCATAATTAATTATTAATAATTGCATTATTACAATATTTAAAATGACTGTTTAAATTATTTTAAATGGTGTGTTATGCTTTTTAATTTATGCCAATTCATTTTAATACTTTTTATTAAGTGTTTTTTATATCATATGTACTGTATTATATATTACATTTTAATGTATTCATATTAATAGTAGAGATATTTTTGTTTTTGCTATTAAAGATTTTTTTCTTAAAGAGTTTTGTGTGACAGAAATTAGAATTTTTGGTGAAGTTATTGGCCCTAAAAGTGGCCTTCAAACATAATATAATTTTTATTCCTTACTTTTTTTTTTTTTAAACGTGAAATATAACCTGGCCATGTTCTTGACAGGTTTTGTGAGATTCACCCATATATAACTCAGTTTTCAAACACGACATATTACACAAAGCTATGCAGCATATGCAGGTTACAGTGTGCTGCTTCCCATATCTGCGCTGCGTACATTTGCATGCGTCATAAAATATCTCACAAATCTCGCATTCGGCCACTAGCCCGGTGAATAACGCCACTGCATCTGTCCAGTGTCTGTAGTGATTTACAGACTAATGATTGTGCTATCATTAGTAATTTCTTTATTTGTTCTTATTTTATTATCACTGATTTAAATAACCCCTCTTGGCAGGAGTGCCTGCTCACGGCCGGCGGGTCAAGCTGCAGCACTTGGGAGGGTGCAGGAATGCCTGACTGTCTTGTGTGTTATTTCTGTATCCTGGCAGCCTGCTGCCGGTACATTTCGTACACGCAAGGCGCTAGAGTCAGTCAAAGCTTAACCCCTGCCTTTCCTCAGATCGCCACACCCACCTCCTCAAGAAGCCCATTGTGTCTTTGCAGGGAGGATTTTCTTTGTAAACCAGTGACATTGAAGGGAGGAGGGGCCACCGCCTGCTTTTGCTTTCCCTCCTAGTCATGTAACACATTCCCCTTCCAGTAACTATGGCAACCAGCACTGGTCCAGCCTGTATCTTGCTGTTATGAGAAGGGGAGGAAGAGAGAAAGAAAAAGAGAGGAGAGAAAACCCAAAATAAACACACTCTTCCCAGCAGCTGTCAGAGATCGCAGTAAGTGCCCTTCACTTGGCTTCTTTGCTTTGACTGCGTACTGCTTAGTGTGCATGCTGTAGAATAAATAAGAGGCATCCTTACTGGCTGCTTTGTTGTGATGGATGACATCATTACATATTAATTTAAATATGAGATTCTGCAGGTGCTGGTGTGTGATGCTAGTTAAACAGGGCTGCAAATATAGACGATCGTCAAAGAGACATTTGGATCCCCTGCTGGAATATTATGGGTGGATCCCTGTAACTGCGTTTTTATAACCTGGGATGAAGTCTCAGTGGGATGTATGCTTCCCATTAGCTTTTTTTAAAACGGCTCTCTGCCAGCACGGTTTCTTCGGTTGTGATGGAGGGACTGGGCCTTTTGTGCTCTTTTTAATTAGCAAACCTACTGTGCCAAATACAAGCAAAATTCTGGGTCACCCTGTTCTGCTGTAGAGAATCCATATGTGGAACGTCCTTGTGGTGCTGGATGCAGGAGGATACAGTGTTGTTATATTGCAGAGAAATCTGAATGTAGTCATCATTTGATGCATGAAGTATCAGCAGACTGTAGGAGAATCTGATTATTTGAAAGAATAAAACATAGGATATTATATTGCATTTAGATACACAGGATACATTGTAGGTACATAATCTAATAAAAACAGAAGGTATAATGCAACAAATGAATGTTTGTGTGATCAATGCATAATTCAATTAATTTTGCAAATCATTGTAAATCATATGCATTTGATCTTACTGGATGTCATTTTACAAAAACTAACTTATACTGAGAATGTTTTTTTTTTATAATTTCTGCTAACTCTTGCTAGAGCTGAAAATAACTTCTATGAATACAAACTCAAGGTCAAAGCATGGAAATTACATTTTAAATGACTAATTAAAAATTAAATAGTTTGTGGTTCTGCTTTTAAATTTATGTTGATTCAGTTATATTCTTTTTAATCATTTATATTTATTTACCAGTGACTTTTACAACAACAAAGTATTGGAAATAATTAAATTATTTTAAATGTGCTTAACAATATATCATAAAATAATAATTAATTTAAGATTGCTAATATCAAAATATCTTTGTTTTGTTAATAAAGAATGCAGACATTTTTGCATAAAATAATGTCAAACAGTCTATACAATTTATACAATAATACAATTAGTTTTTTCTTTCTATGACATGGAGATGTTCTTGACAGGTTTTGTGAGATTCAGCCATATATAACTCTTCAATCTTCAAATATCACATATGAAAGATCTAAGGTCAAAGCACAAACATGTAATGTTACAGATTTTATATATATATACGTATAACGTATACCATGACATTCTAATTTATTGAGATGCACCTGTACATACTGTATATATATATATATATATATATATATATATATATATGGAGAGGGGTTCATATGCATGTATCCTGGCATTGCATGTATTCATATGCATTCTGATGTCAGTCATTTCACATACACAAAGCAAAATTTGTCATATTTTAATAATTCACTACATTGAAAGGAGTTATTGTTGTCTCCTAAGATGGTATCAGATGTCAGTTTGTGTCTTGATACTACTTGATGCAGGCCTGTGATTTCAAATGCTATTTTATCATTGTATGTAATGGGATATGATTGATAACAGTAACCAGTAATGTTTGATTTACTGTTCTGTTGACTTTTGATTTGAAGTGTTTTGTTATGTACTCCTCAGTAAATCACATAAAAGAGTAAGCTTTATATCTGTTGCATCTGTAAAGCTTGTAGCAGCTGTTGGTCCATCTTTTCATCTTTAAAGAAAGAGCCTTTGTTTTGGGATACGTTGTGCTTCTTTGTTTTACAGGAACATAGGCATTTCTTTTACTCTGAACTGTAGATTAAGTCATTTCTTTGTGGAATGCCTTGTTTAGATTCTCCTCCATAAATTATTTTCTTTGTGCAGTAACACCAAACAGATGTAGACCTTCACCGAGTCATCAGATTAATTATGTGTCTAGTCTCAGAAGTCTAGCCTTTAACTTGCTCGTACTTCATTTAGATTTTAGGTTGAAAGCCCTCAAATTATCCATCTACAAGCAATAATGACCTAATTACTAGTACTCATCCTTAGGGTTTGGGATTTGAGCAAACCACTAACCTCATTTATTCAATTTTGGAACTTAACTCTTCCCAGCAATTGTTTGTGCTGTAGATATGAATTTCTAGGTGAAAACTTGCTAAATCTAATAGACTTACACTGATTGGATCAGAGACCTATATTTGTTTCGACTTGGGGCAGTAAGTAAGCAGTCCCCCAAAACACCCACACGCATCCTATCAACCTATTTTTGTACAGACAAGCATCGTTCTAGATGATAAAGATTTAGATCTAAATAAAATCTAGTTAAATCTGACTTTCTAAAACCTATAGTGCAATGCATTTTAGAGCAGAACCACAGGGCTGTGCTAGGGATTCTAGAGAATACTGCTTTCTTTTTAAATGACTTCACTACCAACGAATGTTCTTTTCACATTAGTTAAGCTGTGAAATCTGCTATCTGGCCAGGATCTGGGAGTGCTCCTTAAATCAATCTAGAAAAGGAGAAATGCTTAAATTTAGTTGGGACAATATAAGTGTGATTGTAAATCTATTAATGTGGAGATAGAAACTATATTGTATACGCAGCTAAATTTGAAGATGTGGGGCATTTGTAAACAGGGCTAATAAATTATGGAGATATTAAATGTACTGTATGTACACTGTTCAAAATTCAGGGGCTGAATTTTCAGCAGTCATTAATTCAGTCTTCAGTGTCACATGATCATTTAAAAATCATTCTAATATGCTGATTTGATTTACATATTATTGTTATTATTAAATTTATTTTAAGTAGAAACCTCTTGTAACATTATAAATGTCTTTGATTACTTTTTGATAATTTGAATGAGTCATGTTAATAGATGTATATTAATTTCTAAAAAAAAACCTTACTGAACGGTAGTGTGTATATATATCTATAAATGATTGAATGAATACCAATTCTTATATAGACTCCCTTGACGTTTTACTTGTTGCATTTATTCATTCTTTAAAAGTTGTTATCTTCACTTATGGAGTGTAGAATGATTATCAGAACTGCTTGTGTTGATGGATGTCAGATTTAGTATGGCACAGAGGCAGGATAAAGCTGCGGTTGATGTTTTTGCTCAACATAGAGAAATAAACTAAAACATCTGCCCTGGAATCTATGCACTTAAAGAAATAAGATCACAATAAGGCGCATAACCTTGGGGACATATACATGCTGTGTTACAGATCAGTATGTTACTGATTTTCATAGCATAGTAACCTATATGAATCCTATATACTCTGCATCTTTCAAGGCATAATGGCAGATTGAAGGAGTAAAATAGAAATTATTTTAAAAAGTTACACCCTTCACCTTAAGGCTCTGTGTCACGGAGCAACCCCATGCAATCAATGTACTTTTTTAAGTGGGTGTTCAGTGAGTGTTGGTGTGTAGCTGATAGAATTATAAAAACTCAACACTCAAAGAGAGGAACAGTTTTCCATTTAAAGCTATACAATCACATACTCAGAAACACCTCAAACAGTTGTACATCAACAGATAAGTGGGTATATTTATAATGCTATCTTTGTATTTGTCCTTCGAGTCATGTTCAAGAGCATTCTCCCTCACCTTATTAGGAGACATATTACATAAAAGTTTTGTTTTCAGTTTTAGATGGCTTCTTTCAGAGCAAAATATGTTTGTAGTTCACAACATTTGTTTTCTTTGGTTGCTTCCTGTGAGCTATGATTTCCCAACAGTCTTTCCCTGTCTTTTCTATCATCTGACATTTTTTTGGTTTCGTGAAAGAAAAACAAGTCCTACTGCAGTATGTTTATTTTTTTGTGAGTTCCAGATCTTTGCTTGAAGTCTGTCAATACAATGAATCCAACTTGCTTTAAGTCTGTCAGAAAAATAAATACTTTTATAAGAACTTTTATAAGATGTCCTCGCCTTTTCTGGGCCTGTATTTGGTTTAGAAAACCATAGAGAATGATCAAGGAACCAAGCCATTTTCATTTTCCCAGACTGGTTTGGATGAAGGGACACTGGATTTTCTCAACCAGTTGGCATTTATAACTCCATAAGACTGGGCAGAATCACAGAGGTCATAGTGGTTGAGTGTACCCTTAACCACTGCTTTTTAAATTCCCACAGACAACACGGGCTGCTCCCTGTCCAGACAGAGCACGCTTTGCTGAATGACACATTATACTGTTGCAGTAGGGTATCTATTCATATAGCAATGATTTAGATAACATTTTATTCCTAAAAACACGGTGAAAGACTTTTTTTCTGGCTGTTGACAGATTCATGAAGTGATAAAATAAGATATTAAAAATGCCCTCTGTAAAACCTTTAACTCTAATATGTCAACATAATGAAACAAGAATTTTGAGCTTGTTTCTATCCATTGATCAAATTTATTTTCTGGAAATGCATGCAAATTAGTGCACTTAATTCAATATTTTACACATTTAAACATGCCATTTCAGAACACTTGAAATACAAAACAATTGCCGTAATGTAGCTACTGTGAATTAGTCAACTAGGGAAGTATGGTGATAGTTAAATTTGCCTGTGGTGGAAAAAATTAAATAAATAAAAACGGTTGAAAACTTAAATAAACACTAGCTAATTATCTAAATAAATAAATATGAACCAACTTAAAAAAATAATATTTTTTCTAATAACAAGCCACTTTTTTCAAATGATCCTTTATTTCAGTTATTTGTCACTGACCCTAAAACAAACGACAGAAATTAAGAGAGAAGCAGATCTTCAAACACTACTAAACAGATTACAAAAATTTGGAGTCTCAAATCAGTTTTAAACCTGTGAACGACATTGCCTGGTGACGTCTTTTGAGAAAGCCAATCAGATTAAACTGTGGTAATGTACCGCCCGCCCATTGCTGCCAAAAGTAGGGGGAGTGAAGCAAAGTACTGTTCTTTCTTAACCGCCTTGCTCTTTCAGTAAAATGCAGAGGGATAAATTCAACATAAACGGAAAGTTTTACTTTATTGCCTTGTGGACTATTCTCATCTGATACGTGACTGTTTACTCGTAAGAGAATTATTAACGTTGGATTGTTTTCCTCCCCCTCTGCTGCTCCATAGTGTGGGATCCTCCGTCCTTCTCGCGTTAGCGCCTTTCTGCTGCTGCAGTATGAACGGACACTCAGGCGGACTGATCTAGTACACGCGTATTTCGGTTCAAATGTTTTCCGCTGGTTTGGGATTTTGGGAACGACTTCAAGACGGACACGTGGAATAATAAATAATGTAATTGATTTAAAAATAGTTCCGGGAAAGTGAACAAGCAAAGCGTGTCCTAGTTTATTATAGGATCCATGAAATAAAGGTAAGCACCTACTGCGGTGATTGTTGTTCATAAACGGATACGTTAGTTTGCTGACTGAGTGACTGGTGGTGTGAAGTCCGACTCGGCGAACCGGTTCTTTTGAACAGTTCGTTTTAAAGAACGGGGTCAAAAACCGATTCATTGGTTTTCACGTCATAATGCTTTAAAACGTTCCATATATTGCTGTCAATGAAGTTTTATTAATAAGAGTGTTTATTGTAATCATGTGTCCCAGTTCAGCCACGATTCAGCTCATAATAACAAATAGATTTAGAACCTAAACATATTTTGCACTTGCATTAAACTAAATTCATATTCATCTATGGCACACAAAAAAAAAAGGTTTTGCACGTTTTAATGAACGTTTGTTCACTAAAAGCAACTGTTTCTTATATATGAGGACAAAACTGTTAAACATTTCCCCAGAACGTTTTATTAACGTTTCTGCGATTCAGCTGTTAAAGTAATTTCATCCCATCTGTCAAATCCTCGGTTCACCCCACATGCTCATAGTATCAGATCAGTCATCTGTTGTCGGTTCATTATGTATCGGGCATGTTTGAAATGAACTCTTCTCGGTTCATTGAGTTGTTGATTGGTCCAATTCAGTCCGATTCATGAGAGAATCGTTCAGACCGGTTTTGTGTAGCGGTTCTACAGATTCATTTAAAGGGGTCATATGATGCGATTTCAATTTTTCCTTTCTCTTTTGAGTGTTACACGACCCAAAAGAACTGACAAACTTCGCTATCACTCACAAACAGATCGCAAACATTGAGTAACGTTACGATACTTATGCTCTATCAAACTCTTTTACGGAGATAAATAGTTAAATCTTCTGACACACTGACCAACATTAAGATGAAAAAAACTGTCGTGATTTATTAAGTTTCAACGGCTGACAAGCGTTTCGTTTTATAACGAGATTTGAAATGACTCTCGTTCACATTCCTGCGAATCTAGACGCATGTTTGTTTACATTTTATGATAACATTCATATTGAAGTAATTCACCCATAAATAAAAATGCCCCCTTAATTTACTCGTCCTCATGTAGTTGCAAATATATATTACTTTATTTCTCCTGTGGAACACAAAAAAATGTATGCTGTTTGACAGCCTGAGTCACCATTCACATCCATTGCATCTTTTCCATACAGTGAAAATGAACATAATTATAAAAAAAAAGAAAAAAGTATGGTGACCCATACTCGGAATTAGTGCTCTGCATTTAACCCATTAGACATAATTTTGTCATTATGTCTGACATATCTTGTTAACAGAAGAATGTATAGCTTGAATCAACATGATGCGAGTGAGTAAATGGGGGATTTTCATTTTGATGTGAATTTATTTCTTTAATAAGTAATTAGTCAGCTGTTTGTGTACATTGACACGTGGAACTATTTCAGTGCACATTAACTCATCTGTAGAACATTTGTTAGTGTTACTTAATAGTGTAATAGTGTTATTGCTTGTGTAAGTTGGACATATTTCTCCCTACCAGAGAGATTTACAAAAACAACAAAAGATGGTTTATTGTTTGTGAAATTTGAAATATGATATTTAGTGAATTATATGTTTTAGACTGCCGCATTCCATGCAGGATTCCTCTGGTTCTTTAGGCAGAAATATGTGTTATGTATGTCCTTAATGAACTAACCCATTAGTGAAGGTTACTGTTGCTTCATCGCCTGTGTTTCTGATAATCTCATCATGCTGTGATGTTTGCCCATGACTAATCATAAAATGATGTAAAACTGTAAGTCTGACGTCTGTCTGACCCCTATTTCCATATAAGACCTTTTTCCCATACCATGAAGACCCTCTATGTAGTAAAAATGTTTTTTATTGTTTTGATCTTTGATGTTTAACACAGACTCATTGCAGTCATGCTGTTTACGTGCAATTAGTAAAGAAGTTAGTTCTTTTGACTGATTTACTATTTCAATATGGATTGTCTTATGGTAACATTATAATGGCTTATTGTTATTGAGAAGATCATAATGTTGGAAATATTATCCTGAAGGATGCTTTTTGTGCCATAAACCGTCCTTGTGTCTTTGTTCCTGTCAGGTCAGTGAAAAACCAGAGCGAGGAAGACTCTTTTTGCTGACTCAGCTCAAGCCAGTTGATTATTTTGGCATTTATGCCAGGCTTGGATTAGATTAGATATTTGACTTTCTAACAACAGCTATCAATGGGGGAGAGAGAGGTGGCTTGTTTTTTTGACCTGGGAGCCAGACATGAAAAGACTGTGGGGTAGATCTACTCAACTGTGACCGGTTAAACGAAAGTTAAGTGACATTTACCAGTAAGAAGACCCAATAGTTTTCCATTTTGGAGGTCCAGCGTGACTTATTTAAAACGGAGTTCTCCTTTGCAAGCTGGCAGACAGTGAAAGATCATGCTGTGGGCACTGAGTTGGCCTTAAAAGGAGATGTCTGCAACTTTTGGCTATATTGTTTAGGCAGCGGCACTGCAGGGATTTATTGCCAACATTTTTGATTTTCAAATTGTGCACCGGCTTTGCCAGAGGTTGTAACGGAAAAGTCACGGAAGTGGAATTAAAGTGATCGGTTGACTCCAGGGAAAGCACACATACTCGTGAATGTAGAGACGGAGCAAGTAAGTTCTGTTTATGTCTGTTCATGTCTTATATTTGAATGTTTTCTATTAATTTGAATTGTCTTTAATGCATTTAGAAAGTGGTTTTACGTGTTTAATTTATGAAGATGATTAAGAAAGATTTTACTTATCAATTATGAAATAAATAAAAAAAAAAAAATATATATATATATACAGTATATGTTTTTATTATTGATAGGTAGATAGAAACTGCTAGTCATTTGCTAGTCAGGTGAGAAATGTTTTACAATTTGACAGCTATAAAAATAATCTGAATAATTTTTTTGCTAAAAAAGCAACATCGTTTGCTCTTGATGTACATTGTGCTTAATTATTATTTTTTTCCTTAAATATTACCAATTTTTTTCAAAGTTGTGAATTTGGTATGGTTATATACAGAATTTGGGAAGTAGAGTAATCAGGCATATTTTCTTCTATTTCTTTCTTGTTAACTTTAATTTCATCTATGTGCTATCAGAGATAGCTTAAGCCTTAGTGCAGCTCTTATCGCTTTTTATGGATGCAAACGATGTGTTCATGCTTTTTTTTAAACTCATGTAAATCTGGATCACTTAGCACATGGCCTAATGTATCATACATTTTATATGCATATGGGTGTGGGAAGATGGAAGTGGTTGTCTTCAGATTGGCAGGGGACTCTTGGACCTCTAATGGAGAGAACAGCCTCTGCAGCAGCTTATTTAATTAAACTTGTTTTAAATCAGGAGAACTGTGGAAGCACTTCCCCTAGCTCACTGCTCAACACTGCGTCTGTTGACTTTTGAACATCGCTGGAATCTAATGAGTCACGTAAGGTGCCAGAGACGTTAGTCTGGCATGTTTTCCTGTGACTGTTTGAGATCAGTTTGAAAATGTTTGCCTGCATACTGTTGGAATCATGGGAAACATGGAAGCTTTTTTTGCTTTATGACCTAATGCTCATGTTATGAGCAAAAGCCTTTGAGAAATAGATAATAAAAAAGTGAAGTAGTTCCTACTGAAATGTCAGATTTCTTTGAAAAGGATGTTTGTTCAGGAATGAGGAATGTGTGGTTGTGTTTTTCAAAAGAACTCTGAACCAATGATAATCAATCAGTGTCACCGAAGTCTTTTTCGCTTTTAAGGAACCTGTCATTTTTCCTTAGCTTTTTTAATGTTAAAATCCAGACCAGCTCTACATAGCAATTATTCTCAGTGGCTTGGTTTTGACTAAACTGTCTGTCCAATCAATGGCAGTGTTTGGGAAACCTGTTTGGAAAGAATTCTTATTTATGCAGTTCTGTTTAGTGCAGCTTGTGGTGCAAAAATTGCACACTGCTACTTTAACCTTGACTCTTTTTATCTGTGCAAGCGTGTCTTCAATGACATCATCCAATTATGCTGTACTGCATTAAGCTCAGGCGAAGTGTGTCGGATGATACTGTCGAATAGCATGTGATCATTCCCTAAAAGCTTTTGCAAAAACACTTTTCCTCAATCTGCAGAACTCTCTGACCTGTATAAAATCCAATGAGATCAGGGGTTGGAGACTAGATTGGACATCTGATGCTGTTATCATAAGTTTGGGAAAGATGATGTAATGCATGCATGCACACACAGCATATTCCAGACAGGACATTAGCTGTTCTTTAGCTTCATGCTGCTCATTGTCTATACACTGCATTAGGTCTTATGTGGTTCCCAAATGCTAACATTAGAATAAATTTCATTGTTTACCACCTCAGCGTCCAATTTTTGTCAATTTTGGACTTGTCCCAATGTCCTTTTGCTGCCTTATAGTTCCCTAACTAGCTTGCCGTTTGTCTTTTAAAAGGATAGTTCTTACTCGAATTCATGTCATTCAAAACCCATATGACATTTACTTTCATGGAACCTATAAAGTTATCTGTATCCAACTTGCTCTTTTCTGTATAAGCCTGTTTCCACCATGGAATAAAAAATAAAGGCAACAGCAACTTTTATCTCAATTTCCTTGCAAGAAAAAAGTCAGAATTATGAAATATAAACTTGCCATTGTGAGGAAAAACATTTTAGAATTGTGATTTGTGAGAGAAAAAGTTGCAGTTGCCTTTTTATTTTTAATTCCATGGCAGAAACAAAAACCATAATTGCGAGATGTAAACTCAACTCAGAATTGTGAGAAAAAGTCAAAATTGCGAAATGTAAACTCTCAAGTATGAATTTATAACTTGCAACTGCAAGATATAAACTTGAGAAAAAAAATCTGAATTGTGAGATAAAGTCACAATTGCCAGGAAGATTTTATATATTTATATATATGTATTAGGCATGGGACGATAACCGGTTTCAAGGTATACCGCGGTTTGGAAAAGTCACGGTTTCAAAACCACTAAAATTCTCTGTTATACCGTTCCTGCGGTATGCGCAGTTTTTTTACGTGTCGTCAAAGACGGAAAGTGCAGGACTATGGAGTCAATACAATGCCACATATATATGCAAAATAATAAAGTTTTGCAAATGAAAATAAAAGTATTGAGAAAAAATAAATGTGTTTTTTGCAAACAAAAATAAAGAATTGCAAAATATAAATGAAACCGCACAAAAGCAATGATTTTGCAATACATATTTTCCATGGCCATATCTAGTAATTTATTTGCAACGCTGCTTTTATTTTGCGTTTCAGTCAAGTTTGAGCTTG